AAAAACAGGCGCCGATTCGAGGAAAGTCGAAAGGGCAAAAAGTCGGTCCTACGGGACCCACCCACTAACGAGGAGTCACAGCCCTCGACCTCAGAGGTGCACGAAGCCAACCGGATAGGGATGATCCAGACCGTAGATTCTGCCTCGGAAAAACCCGAGGTATTCCTCCGGGCCTATCCTATAACCTGGAAAAGCGTAGAGTGTGACTGTGAGGTCTGGGGAAACCCCTAGGCCGCCATCCTAGACTCGGGATCATCGACGGTCGCCATTTCTTGGAGATTGACGAAATAGTTGGGAAGGGAAGGACAGGTTCAGCCCCTCCGGCCGGATGAACTGTATATATCCGCTATGGAAGATAATATTCATTGTAAAGGGCGAATAACGAACGTACCCATAAGGGTGGGGCGGGTGCATTGTTTGTGTGACGTGATCGTGCTGGATGTACAGGCGTATGATGTTCTGCTAGGCATTCCGTGGCAGGCGGCGGTCGGAGCGCGAATGCACTTTGACAGCTGTAAGGTGGTGCTCACATCGGCGCACCCCAAACCCCAAACGATACCAATGAGACTGGCGGTGCGCATGCACGCCCAGCCGGCGCCTCGCCTCACCACTAAAGCCCATCAAATCAACATGATCCGACGCCTGTCACCAGACGAAAATGAACCCTTGACGGAAACTGACAAGACTGATGCACCCGACCGATATCCGATCCGAGTACAGGTCGGTGGCGCCATTCTTGGCGGCGAGAACCACAGGAAATAGTTCGGAGTGAGTCCAATTGGTCGCACGCGTTCTCCTCCGTGGTGCAGGGGGAACCCCTGCTAAGGGTGTCCCAAATAGCTGACCTTTCGGAACCCCCTGCGTCCTTGTATCTCCGGACGAACCCCCTACCTGAAAGATTTACCGAGTTGAGGGGGCTGTGCGATTTATCTTTTCGACCTCCACGGCCCCTACTCACGAATGAAAAAGCCGCGATACTCCTGAATGAGGGGGTGTCGTTTCAACCCCGAACGAGGGAGTATCGGTGGGGACCGAGGGAGCTGGCGCAGGCCTTTTCGGTCGAACCCTCGGTCGAACCCGAACTGGACAGTGACATGGAAAGCGAGCCGATGAGTCCGGCGGACAGCCAACTTAGTGCGACGGTCCTTTCGGCGAAAACTGACAACTCTTTATTTGGGGCCTCGCCCGATGCCAACGCGGCGGTCCCCACGGTTACGACGACGGTCTCCTTTCTTGGGGGAACCGTAGAAGTTCAGTTACCAGCCCGTGTTCCGGACGAATACAAACGCCTCCTCTTGGCGGTTATACGGGCCTATCCTGAGGCCGTCAGCAATCAGGACCACGACATAGGGCTAACCCCTTTGATACAACACGCGATTGACACCGGGGATCACGCCCCAATACATTGCCGACCGTACCGATATTCCCTTAAAGAAAGGCAGCTGGCGTTGGAAAGGGTACGGGAATTCGAGCGGTTGGGGTGGGTCGAACCATCGCTGGGACCATGGTCTTTTCCCGTGGTCCTCGTGCCAAAACGAAATGGCTCGGTTCGAGTATGTATCGACTACCGGAAATTGAATGTCATCACTACCAAAGATGTGTATCCCTTGCCGCGAATCGATGATTTGTTAGACGCTATCGGGGCCGCTCGAGTCTTTTCCAAGTTCGATATCCGACACGGTTTTCACCACGTCGCAGTCCGACCGGAGGACCGACCCAAAACCGCCTTTGTCCTGTTTGAGGGCACGTGGCAATGGGTCCGGTGTCCCATGGGAATTTGTAACGCCCCTGCAACGTTTCAGCGGGCCATGAATATGGCCTTCGCTGAGTTCGTTAACAAAACCCGACTAACCCAGCCCCTGATCAATTTCTGCGTGATTGTGTACATGGATGATATTTTGGTCTTTTCAAAAACACACGAGTACCACGTGGAACACATTGAGTGGGTTTTGCATGCACTGAAAGATGCAGGGTTCCAAGTGGCCTTGTGGCCTTGGAGAAAAGCGAGTTCTTCTTGTCAAAGATCTCATTTTTGGGGTATATCGTCACGGTCGACGGACTAAAACCGGATCTGAGGAAGGTGGCAGCAGTTCAAGACGCCCCGACGCGGGTCACACTCACCCAGGTTCGGGCTTTTCTAGGGCTGGCATCCTATTACCGACGCTTCATCAAGGGGTTCGCCGGCATAGCGAAGCCCCTCACGAACCTGCTGAAGAAAGAGGAACAGCTGATCTGGACGCCGGAATGCGAAGCGGCGTTTCGGGCGTTGAAGGAGGCTCTGACATCTGCTCCTATGTTGGCACGCCCCGACCCGACAAGACCGTTCGCACTGTACACAGACTGGCAGCCTCAGGCGATATCGGCGGTGCTGACTCAGCACGACAAGGACGGAAGGGAGCACGTCATTGAGTATGCGTCCAAGACGCTGAGCCAGGCGCAGGCTAATTACGAAGCGTGCAAAGGTGAATGCCTGGCGGTGGTGTGGGGGATTCAGCATTTCCGACCGTATCTGTACGGCCAGAAATTCGTGTTGGTAACAAATCATCAGCCGCTGCCTACGCAACAACACGGACTACACAGGGACGCTGGGCAGGTGGGCGATGCGTCTGCAAGACTATGACTTCGACATCCGCCACCGTGCCATGCGGCAGCATGGTAACGCCGATGGATTAACGCCCCTTCTGCCGCCCAACAAGTGTCCTGCCAACGAGCGACTCATTCCGTGGAGGCTTGAAGTCGCGGCGACGAAACCATACTACGGGGAGCTACACGTGCTGCGTAAGGACGACGCCTGAGTCCGGAATGGAGGTTTCATCGGAGATGGCCGACGTTATCTCTCTGCCCTCATCCCACTCCCTCGCTCTCTCGTCTAGCCCCAACTTGTCCCCTGAAACACACCTAAGTCCCAGTTTCTTCTGTACCTTGCCCATGATCCCGGACCAAGAAGGGTCACATCCGGGAGGGCCTAGTTTTCTTTTATGGGTACAGTGCAGTCAGTGTCATACGGTCAAATCTCACGGACAGTGCGTTAGGTACCGAAGTGAAAAGACGTGGGTCTGTCCCAACTGTAGAATGGACCAAGTCCCTACCGAGAAGCGGTATCTGGACGCTAGAACAGCCGACGGATTTGCGCCAAGTGCCCGTCGGGCAGAAGCCTTGACGGACCTTTTGTTGCTACGGAGACTGTCAGGCGACTCGTTGTCATAACTTACCAAAGCCGAACGGCGGAGAGTCACGGAGCGGGCGCAGGACTATCGCTGGCTGGGCCCGACATTACAAAAACGGAAGGTCGATGACGACGGAGAGTCTAGCTGGTTGACGGTTCCACACCCTCTTGCTAGGTTCTATTGGACACGAGCTGCTCATGAGGAGGATGCGGTCCATTTCGCGGTCAAGTAAACCGGAAAAAGCCATCGAAAAGAATGGATGGTACTGGTCGGGAATTCGGGAAGATGTGAAATACATCGTTCAGAATTGCCCGGCCTGCGCGGCGGACAAGGCGCCGGTACAGATGCCTCGGACGATGGTTCCCACTCGTGTAGAGCGCCCCTTTCAAAGGGTTGGCATCGATACGACGGATATCAATGTTCCGAGAGGGCCCATCGACCAGGGAGAGCTCAATGTTCTTTTAGTGGCCGTCGATCATTTTTCAAAATGGATCGAGGCGTACCCTATGACCAGCCGGAATTCGCAGGAAGTAGCCTGGTACGTAAATCGATTTTTGTGTATGCATCTAGACGTAGAAGAGGTACACATGGACAATGGGTCGGAATTTCAAGGCGAAGTAGAACGTCACCTAGTCAGGGCGGACGTTAAGATTATCTACTCACCGGGGCATTGGCCTCAAGCCAATGGCCTGG